CTGGCAAAGTGCGTCATAACCGCGAATGGCAGGACTGGTGGAACTATAGACTCGAGTTCGTCTGAGCACATTTCTTAGAAATAACGATAGAGCAACGACTTGTGAATTTTTGTTTGTGAGAAAGTGGTTGGAGGTTAGGTTAAGTTTAGGTAGGGTTTGAGGTTAGTTTATTTTTACAGTAAGGATGATCACAGCTAACATTTCTTTTTTCTTAGCAAAAATATATAAAAATCTATTTTAGTAAAATGTTAAATTTTAAAATAAAAAATGTGACTAAAATTGGTTGACAGTTCTTGCTAAATCCACCATTTTTTCTAACCTCATAAACCCAAGAGTGAAAGGTATATTTTAAAGAAGAAACTCATATTCTTTTCAGTGCTTCTTTTCTCGTTCACTCAAAATCAATATATTAACATTCAAAAGTTATGCTACGTTCTCTGCGTCTTTGCATAAAACTGACGACGTTGTAGACAGAAAGGGGGTTTTCTACGTTTGCACAACACTATCAATCTCGCTTTTCAGAATTTATCCTAAGAAACGATTGGGGGATTCACTAAAATTTAACGAGAGTAAGTAGGATAATAAAAAAAAAATATTAATAATTTTTTTTTTTATTGCACGCAAAACATTCAACTTGGAAAACAAAAACTTTGGATTTCATACACAGACCCTGGTGTTATCACCGGCCCAGTGGATCCGTCAAAATCTCAAAAACATCCGGTATACGTAAGGTTTAAAATTATTTTTTAAAAAAGAAAATACAAAGATTTAATTTTTGCTTTAACTGAAAGCTTAAAGATTTAAAATTTGCTATTTCCAGAAAGCAATATATATATATATATATATATATATATATATATATATGAAGAAAAATATACGGAAAAAACAAACAAAAATCCTAATATGCAATTATGCTGTTTTAATGTTAATATAATGTCAACGTCGGACGTTTCAGTCTAGTAGACCATCTTCAGGACATATTCATAAAACATAATTAACATTAGACTATATTTAATTCAACATGTAAAGACGATGGACATAAGAAAAACCTTTCTGTTATTATAGGAATACGCGGAGATCAATAGATTCTTATATTTTCGTATAAGCTTGAAGTCTTCCATGTTATAAAGTAAATTCAGGTTTGTATTTCCAGTAGACAGTATGTAAGCAAATATATGGATATAGATCCGACAGTATGAAGAAAAATATACGGAAAAAACAAACAAAAATCCTAATATGCAATTATGCTGTTTTAATGTTTAATGTTAACGTCGGACGTTTCGGTCTAATAGACCATCTTCAGGACATATTCCTAAAACATAATTAACATTAGACTATATTTAATTCAACATGAAAAGACGATGGACATAAGGAATCCTTTCTGTTCTTATAGGAATATAGTCTAATTCATTTGTGAATACTGCTGAAAATTTAATTAAAATCTGCCAATTATTTGATTTTTCCAAGAGTTTACAAATTAATGTATCTGTGACTGCAAAAAAAGTCGCTAAAATTTGCTCTATGAAAAGTTAATACATTCGTTGAGGCAAAATTAATGAAAATTTTGAATGTTCTAAAAAAGAGTAAAAATATCATTAAATATTCAAAGAATATTTTGATCCTTCCTCTTAATAATAAAATAAAAGATTTTGATGATAACCCAATGCTTTCGTTACATTTGAAGCATCTTTTCATCACGTTATGCTGATTTTTTTTAGCGGTTTCGTGGAGGTACTTAGTTTAAATCCATCAGCAAACACGGACGCAAAAATTACACGAGAACCAACATCAAATTTTTCAACGGAGCTGAAGTGTGGCCAAAAAGACATCAATTATAAACGGGTTTCATCGTGGAGGGGTGCATGATGGATATTTATACAGATAGTGTAATCTGCTAAATACAAAAAAGGAAAATACAATGAAAAAATATGGATTTGTCTATTGTTTTTTTAATATGTGGGTTAAGGAAGGTGGTGATTGTCAGTAAGAGACTTGTTTTGGCGACAATTATAAAACAAAGAGTGAATAATAAATCTAATTCAATTCATAGATTTGCGTAAATTCTATGGCAACGTGGAAAGCGTTAGCAAACACTTGAAAGAGAGTCATTTATATTTGCCGAAAGAATTTTACGTCATCAAACAAACAAAGAAAATATAATTGCTGGAGTAGGAAAGATTCCAAATGTTCTATTGAATTCAACATTGGAAGAATTGTTCCAATAAGGACGGGAACGGACATAAATGTAAATCGCAATAGACGAAAATGAAGTTATTATTTATATTTAACTTGATGAGAAACAAAAGAATTTGTTTAATGACGTACGCGATTGTAAGAAAATGGCCGAGTTCTTGATGTTTATATATCCAATTCATAACTCGTATGTTGGCCTTTTTTCTCTTGCTGATGACCATATTTTCTAACTTCTTGCAGTTAATTTTTTTTCACGATTTCTTCAACCACCCATCCTAGGTGTTGTTGTAGTTTTCCTTCCATTAACAAAATGTAATCAGCGTTTCTTATAATGTTAAGATTACGTCCAACGATAATATATCCTGATAGCATCTCCAGTTTTCTTCGGATAGCATCGTCATAGAGGCTGAATAAGTCTTGGGAGAAAGCTCAACCTTGTTTCACGCCCGTTTCTACTCACTTCATTTCCTATCCGTATGCAGATGGTTCGATCCCTGTGTAAGTTCTGGATTATTCTGACATCTTTTCCAAATGGATCTAGTTTTCTTAACAGTTCAAATACATCCTTGTGTCGCATCTTGGTAAATCCTTTTCCATAATCTATAAAACATAAGTGGGCATCCTTCTGCATTTGTATGACTATCTTCTCGTTTCTTGTTCCGGTGTTCTTGACAAAACCATATTGTTCTTGTCCTATTTCCGGTCTAATAATCTAATTGAATATATCTGTGTATAGTTATAAGTCGTTGTAAGTGTGGTATCATATAATACGCCTAATTAGGAATTCAGAAAAAATAACAATACACAAACTGTAAGTAGGATTTTAATTTAGTTTACCATTAGAGATTCAATATAAGTACACTTGTGCTAGTATATGCAGGTAGCTTATTAGGTAACGTTGCAGAAAAAGGAATCATTGTAACCGAGTTTATTCTGTTTGTATAATGTTTTGGATAAATGCTCTTAGGAAAGGTATGTGTTCACGTCTTTCACCCAAGTATAGGTTAAATATCAATCTAAATTGGGCTCTCTTGTCTTGAATCACAGGTATTCTTGTAGAAGGGAAACTGAATTCAAGAATGTGGAGAAGCTTATGGAAATCCAACCTTTTATCTACCCACCGAGCTCATGGAAATTCACAAATAAGAAAGAAAATATATCGAGACCGATGAAAGAATTTATTATGGACTTGACTTAGAATGAAAGCAGATAGACGCGTACACAGAATCTATCGTAAAAAATCAAGTTGTAGAATTAGTAACTATGAAACAGTTTACATAACTTGGCGTATAGATTAATTGCTACAAATCAGAATATGGCAACTGAACATAACATAATGCAGCTTTAGGGTAGTTTTGACCTACGCCTAGTTTTGCCCAACACCACATGTTGCTACATAACCAAAGCATTAGCCTATGAACTCGAGTCATGTTCTTCAATAACCTCATCAGATTGATTTTCATGGAACCTACTTATTTTCGTGATACTTTAGGAAATCTCTCACTGAGTAATGTCAGTTGAATACAAGTGTTTTTCGTTTGTTAGAAATAGCTTCCCGTGTATGTAGCCTATAGTTTTTAGCGGAGGTCACTGATCTTCGAATCTCTTGGACTGGCATTACAGAAAGAACTTTACCGACTAACAAAACGTCCATCACTTTCGGACTTTCAACAGCAGCAACAACTAAAGCAGCACATATACAGTCTCCTCCAAAGTATAGGAACAGCAGGGCCAATTCCTTTTGTTGTTCACTGGTGAGATTTGAGTTCAAATGATGAATATGAGACAAGAGTTCAGAATTTCAGCTTATACATCCTGGTATTTACATTTAGGTGTTCCAAACAACTTAGGACATATCACCTTTTATTTGTACCCACATTTCTTTTTCAAATAAGCAAAATTACCGGAAAACGTAACTGAAAGGTGTTTCTTCTTTTCCAGATCTTGCCTTTAAGATTAAAATTTAAAATAGCTTTAAATAACCACTCTTAGTTTTAGCCTTGTGCTCCACCTGTAAAGACTGCACTTTTTCTTAAAAAGGATAAAACACATGAAGGCGAAAGAGTTGTCTATAGGAGAAAAACAAACAAATTTGAAGGTGAGAGAAGAATGATAATCGATAAGAACCATTAGACAAACACTGGACATATCCTACATAACAATTTGGAATGTCCTGAAAAAGAAGGAAAATACTGCCGTATTTGAGCAACAGACATAGAACAGGTCGGCCTAGGGAAACTACAGGAGTTGATGACAGAAAAATTGTGTGCGCTGTGAGGAGGGGAATGTATCTCTAAGAGAAAATAATGACAATCAAGACGTTTACATTCCACACTACTTCAAACCAAAGGTTAGGAAAGGAGCTTCTATCCATAAGGAAAAGTGCGGTAACAATTAGTGGACTTGCGAAACCCATTTTCCTGATAAATTGTTTTAATGGAAATATAAATTTGAACCGAGCGTAGCACAAGATGCTCAGGCTTACGGCAACATTACATTGTGTCATGGGAACTTACCCATAATAATAATGGACTATTCCTGACATTATAAATACTGCGCCTCTCAAGAGGTATGAGGAGATTGTAAGACGAGAAGAGGTAATTGAGAGCATATTGTAAGGACATTGGAATAGTGATACTTGTCGAGACAACATAGTTCACTCTAACCAAATTTGATAGCCATGACTAATATTTCTACTTCTTTGTATTATATTTCTGTTGTAATATATCTTTGTATTTCATACCTGTGTTCGTGTTATATTTTCATTGGTTCTAACCTTGGACCATCACCGTGATACGAGGAATCTGGACCATAACACATTGAAACACCGGTTCCTGTACGATCACTGAAGTTAAGCAAATTCAAGCCAGGTTAGTACATTGATGGGTGACCACCTGGGAATACAAGGTGCTGTAAGCTTGCATGTGCAGGTGATGCAATGGATAATAGCACATAATTTTTAATCAGAAAGCCTAGTTCCATTGCCAATTGTGTTTTTTTACATTTACTTACGCACCGATACATTTGGAACAGGTATGAATCCACCTCATCTGCCCACAGCGATGGGTTAATTAAACTTAGATCAGTAAACCGTCTTTACCTCTAAAAATATATTATTGCAATCTAAAAATATTTTCTGACTTTAATTAACCAACAAATAGTTGATAAGCCGTAGAAAACGAATCAAACAATCAAGAGTCTGCTAGATCAACTAATGCCAAATGTTTCCTTATGAGGAAATGGCTAATATTACTATTATCATTGCAAAAGAATAACAGACTTGTGTGTTATATTAGCAAATGTCAATCAGACTGTATGGTTATTTGATGTGCATGTATGTTTATTTGATTTAACGAATAGTGAGTTTGCTTTAATGTAGGATTTTTAATACCAACATTCAACCAAGATAATACTCGAGCGGCACTCAAGCTAGAAGGTTGCTCTTAACGTGGTTATGATGGAAGACATGTGCGATATATATGGAAAAAAAAACTTTGAAGGAATTGAAGATTATGAGAACGAGATTTGGTTTGGCTTGGTTTGTTTAACGGCATATCAACTCCTTATGTGTCATTTAATGTCGAAATTGAATTTTCTTGGGAGCTTTGGCAATTCATTTATTTTGCCGCTAATCTTTTTTCTATGAAAATATATTGCTAACACACATGACCCAGGGAATAAAAGCGTTGGTAGGATCCAGTGACTTGACACAATGAGTTGTGAGTTCACTACCTGGCTACGGCAGTGGTGGGGAGCAAAAACTTGAAGAGTGGATTTAAAGGGAGATAACTGAGATTTCCGGCAGGGAACGTGAAATTAGAACAATGTAACCCGATGGACGAAATAAAGGGTTCAGTTCGAAATTCCACTCGCCTGATGAAGGCTAGAATGTACAACGACCGAAACGTCGTGAAGATGACCATAAATATGAGGACAACAGTCTGAACAATGTAAATAATATAAACTTATTTTTATATTTTTATAATGTTTTAATGTTGGAGTTCGGTATTTGACCAGAGCTGGGACCCTAACAGGTGCTACCACCACTGGTTATAGTGAACTTGGCAACAAAAGTAATTAAGAGGTTCTTTTGCGTTCCTCAAAACCTCCCGATCAGTGGTCTTACTGCTAGTTTTAGTTTATCGTCATATTCAGGACAAATGAGAACAAGAAGCCAAGGAAATGATATATTCTTGTCTTGAAGATGTTAATATTGTAGTGATATTGAAAGTATACGTACGGATTTCTGGCACCCAAAATGCTAATTCTTTGAAAAATCTGAGTCGATTTTTCCATTACATTATAATACAGAGAAAATGACGGTGGTTATTGTCCATTGAAGTAACATGACGTACTCTAACTTTAGCGGTCTGAACCTGTGGAACTAAAGAGCTATTTAGAACATTTACCATAAAAAATAGCAATGGAATGACGATAGGCTTGCTACGTTGCATATGCGAGAAAGAAAGTGTATAATGGAAAATAGACGACGTAAACCATTTGAACTCCATATTGAAAAGAGAGTACTAACCAGAACCAGGTATTAATAATTCAATGTTGGTCGAAGAAAATAATGATAAAGGCTGGCAGAAGTAGTCAGAAATTTTCTGGTGCGATAGAATAAGCCGATTATTTTTTCAGAGACCGATCGATAAATTTTTGACATTTTATATTTTTAATTTCGCGCATGAGTGTTTTTTTTTTAATTTTGTCAACTGCACAGGATAGTAGGGTCAGTTGGGCACCATCTATAAGAAAAATGAGCACCATGACGCAATTAACTCTGCCAGAAATTCGGAAACGGCATGCTGTACTTCTTGACATTAGCGCCTAAAGCTTCAATAAGAACATCTCAAAGTGTTTGGGTGTCAATCTCAGAACAGTTCAGAGGATTCAGAAAGAGTTGGATGAGTCTAATGGTGGTCACAAAGATGTTTGGCTAGTGATGTCGACGTTATGACGCCATTCATCTTCCCACAGGAGCTCAGACTCAATACGGAGGTTTACATTGTGCTTTGAGGAGGTAGTGCTGCCCTGTGTCAAAATGGTGGCTATTGAAGAGCCTATGATTAGTAACAGGATTCTGCGCCATGCCACAAAAGCAGGAGAAAGTAGTCATGGCTATCAGACAATTTCTGCGACCACATCATCCTTTACATCCGGCCAGCTAACTCCCCAGTCTGGAACCTCCTTGATTACTAGGTATGGGATACAGTTTAGCGAGAGACCAACAAAGTTCCTTGTAACACCAAAGATGAACAATGTAAGGATTATGGCAGCACGCACTAACTTAAACAAGGAAACTGTCCAGAAGTGTTTCAGGAGATTCCGAAATTGTCATGAGGCTGTGGTTGAAACAAATTGCGATTCTATTGAACGCATTTATTCGTTAGTATTTCAAGTTTTGTGCAATCTTGTTAAATATATGTGTTAAAATGAGATGTCAGTGTTATTTTTCATTTTTGCGTAATTCAGACGACAATTTATACATCGCTTTCTATATATGTATATATGACACCAACTTTAGTTCTAGACTAAATTTGAGGCCCAATAAACAACACTGTTCGAATAATTTAGGAGAATTTTTGATTTTCATTGGATGATTTATATAGTTACCCTTGTTCTATTCGAGATAAAATCAATCAAACGTCCCTGGGTGTACGTAAATCATTGAATAGTGAGCGTGGAATGTTAATTGAATTGATAAAGATGTGAAATCTTTCTCAAAGCCACACCTGTTTATGTGTGCAACTTACAAGCCTTGATAGTTCAATATGGGCATATGTATATATGTATGAATGCAAAGGTGCTTCATGTTGGGTTTCCCGCTGTTCGTACAAAATAATTGTCAGCCTCAGACTGACCATACCATCTGTCATTTTAAACCGAAAATGGGCTTCACTGAACAAGTAATATTTCACTGTTGTTCTCCAAATCACGGACGACCTTCGCGAATGAACATTTTTCAACGGTAGCTCAAAATCTGTGTTTATATAACAGTGTCTTCTCGCAAGTGAAGCGTGTAGAACTTTGCGAGCTACGTCGCATACAAACCGAGTCATCGATCTGTGAGTAGTTAGGGAGTTTTATCTGATTACTTGAGATACAATATTAGAGACTACACAAAAGACAATGTTCAAAGAAATGGATGCGTCTGTCTTTTTTTCTTACACTGTGATCCTATACTCTATCACTCACACACACGCACCCACACACATACACAAACGCACACATACACACACGAACACATATGAATGTATGTATGTGGAGTGCGTGTGTGTGTGTGTGCGGGTGCATGCATGTGGGTGAAAGGCCGAAAGATAAAAAAGCGTTTGTGCATATATATATATATATATATATATATATATATATATATATATATATATATATATATATGTATGTATGTGTGCGTGCGCAAGCGCGCCAGCGTGTATGTGTGGACAGAAACCATTTTCATCCGCAAATCCTCTGAGAAGATATGTGATATAAACAGAGACATAGACACACACATGCACACACACATATATATGAATGAAGACAAACGAAAATTATTATTTACCAAGTTGTTTCGTCCACTGATACCCTTTATCAAGGCAAATGTATGGATTTTATTTTGCAACAAGCATTTTTTAACATCATTGTACAAGACCTTTTGGTAAATAGTTTTTTTTTATGTAGCTTTTTCATATTGTCATGCTATATATTTTATTTATACCTGAATTTTACACAAAGGCACATGCATCCACACACACACAGTCATATATATATATATATATATATATATATATATATATATATATACCCAAAAGGGTATATATATATATATATATATATATATATATATATATATATATATATATATATATATATATATCATACCCAAAATATATATATATATATATATATATATATATATATATATATATATATATATATACCTTCCTGGGTATGACGATAAGCAACATCCACGTCATGGGTAAGACGATAAGCGACGTCCAGCAGCAATGCCTCCGATCAGGTTTTTAAGAGCGTTGAACCACCTTTTAATTGCTGGCGTTCCCAGGTCCGCCCTAACTCGGTGTCGTACTACCTGTTTGGGTCCCGGCCTTGGGCAAATCGTTAAACCCGAAACTGGGGTCAAAACACCATAAAAATGTAAAAATATGTTTTAATACCAGAAATACATTAAAAATGTATTACCAGCAATACTGTTTTGAAAAAAAATATCATCAATGTTTTTAAATGATAAATATTGCTAGCAATACCCACACACACACACACACACACACACACACACACACACACACACACACATATATATATATATATATATATATATATATATATATATATAGGTTAATGGTAAGAGTTGAATCCGACCAGGAAACAGTATTATTAAAAAGTGGTCAATACACATGAAAAATAATGAGTAAAATAAAAGCAACATGTAGAGCTTTTAACTTTCAAAATTAGGAGGTCAATTAAAATACGCGACCATGGCTGCGACCTGACAGTCTTTTCGGGCGATCCTTTTAAAATGACCACTTTAACGCTTTATTTCATAAAAACACAAAAACCCGCTACTTAATTAACTTACAAAACTGACTGACTGTGTTTAGAAAATAAAAAAGAATGTCCCCATCATTATAGAGAGAAATATATAAAAATCTACATATTCAGTTAAAAAAAAAAAAACGAAAAAAAAACAAACTTCATAATATCTAATAGCTCAAAGCGCTTAGCTATATAGAAAAATCGGTCCGTTTTTATAAGGTGGTGAATTGGATAGCGGCTCGGATTGAGGAATTGGAGAGCCGAGTTCGAATTCGAGTGGAATACATTACTTTCACTTACGTGTTAATATTCTTGGAAAAGGTACAAATCCTCTTTTTCTTCCCCACCCCAGCTATAGGAAAA